AATTGTTTTTAAGTGCACAGTCCCACGCCGTTAAGTACATTCACACTGTTGTGCAACCATCACCACCATCAATCCCAAAACTTCTCATCTGCCCAAACTTAAACTCTATCTCCATCAAATGCTAACTCCCCATTCCCCCCACAACCAGCCCCTGGCACCCACCATCCTACTTTCTGTTTTGGTGAATCTGACTCTTCTGGGTACCTAATACAGTTGGAATTATACAGCATCTGTCCTTTTGTGACTGGCTTGTTTCACTTATAATGTCCTTGGGGTTTATCCATGTTGTCACATGTGTCAGAATTTCCTTCCACTTTATGGCCGGATAATATTCCGTTGCATGGAGAGACCCTACTTTGTTTATCGTTCATTTGTCGATAGACACTTGGATTGCTCCCACCTCTTGGCTTTTGCGAGTAACGCTGCTATGCACGCGGACATGCAAATCTCTTTTCTGGTTCCTGCTTCCAATTCTTTTGGGTATATATCCAGAAGTGAAGTGCTGGATAGTATGGTAATTCCATTGTTTAATTTTTTGAGGATCCACTATCCTGTTTTTCTCATGGCAGCAACACCGTGTTACCTTCCCACCCACAGTACGCAGGGTTGCAGTTTCTTCACACCCTCACCAACAGTTGTTGTTTTCTGTTTTGTTTTTTTACAATAGCCACCCTAATGAGTGTGGGGTGGTACATGCCAGCTATGCTTTTTTAATCTCATTTGTGCGGATGTTATTTATAACTTGTAGCTCTTTAAGTCATCATTCCTTGCCCTTGCTTCTGTTCACCCCCCAGCATCCCAAAACAGGGACATGAATTGTCCTCTCAAAATTATGCCTCGTGGCTGCACCCAGCATTCCCAGAGGGCTCAGGACCACACTGGGGAATGTGCTGGATGAAGCTCTTGCCCTGGGAGCCAGGAAGCTTGGGGACAGCCCCAGGCCTGCCCCTCCGCAGGTCTGTGATCAAGAGCAAGTCACGTCCCCCTGGGCCTGCTTCCTGTCTGTTAAAATGGAAACAATACTGATGCCTCAACTCCCTTATAGAATTGGAACCCTGGAGATAAAAAAGCTCCTGGAAAGTCTAAAGCAATAGCAAAATCTCTGGGTTTGTCAAGATTAAAAAAAAAAAAAAAAGTCTAAAGAAAAAAGGGATGGGCCTCTGCTTCTTAGTAATGCACGTGGGCGATCTCAGAGCTCAAGTTCATGGAAACAAATTGAATTACGTAGGAGGCAGCTCTGCCATTTGCAACCATGGATTGTTTGAAATCCTTTTAGAGGAAAATTAAAATATCTCACAGAGGGTAATAAAATGCCGGGTATTTTGAAGGCATAACTGCTCAGCTCTCTTGGGCAAAGAAGTAATTAGGCATTTTTATTTAAGCCCTCCGAGCCGTCATTTTCTTTCATTGGTGGAGAGGGGAGAAAAACTGTTGTGGAAAATACATAAAACTCTGGAGGTCACCAGAAGATTAATTATCAAAATGTAGAAAACATTAAAAGTAGGTAAATAAATATATCATTTTTAAAGCACAACATAATACCACGCTACAGAGACAAAGGGAAGTGCTTCAAATTTATTTTCACAAACATCAGAAATGGGAAGCTGTACCAAAGGTTCCTTTGTTTCCAGATCAAATCCCACCAAAGAGCCCAGGAGTGGGGAGCCTTCCAAGGCCTGTGGTGCTGGAGACATAGTTCTGCTTGGCGTGGGAGCAGGGAGGACGTTCTGAGCCTTGTTCCCGCCCAGAGCCCTCAACCACCGCTGAGGACTGTGCCTCCGCCTTGTTGCACCATCCCTCACCATGATCCACTTGAAGAAAAGGGTTGAAAATGGTTGATTTTTCTCTCAGCTAGAGATCATCTGCTCTAGTCTCTCCATTTTACAGACAGAGAAACTGAGGACAAGAGCTTAAGGCTCTGTCCTTCCTATGAATCCCTAAGTCTCAAGACCACCGCATTATCAATGCCAGTGACTCCACAGTGCTTGGGTGGGCTCCCTAGGCCTGAGCCCTAACTGTGGAAGGGGGAGTTGGCCAGGGCTATGTCCCATCGCCGTCCTGTCCCCTGCACAAGTGGTCCATGCCAGCATCTCCCAGACCCCACCTTCTCCTGTCTGTGAAGCTCGTTCGAGTAATATGACAAGGGGCTGGGGCTGAGGATACAGAGTTCCTGGACAACGCTGGTTTGAGACCCATGCAAAGCCACTAATGGCGGTGGTGGGAGTCGGGGCGGGGGGGGCTGTTGGCACAGGCATGCTCATAGGTAGATATTCCTCTTCTAAATCTCTCTAGGGTTTCAGTTTATCTGTGGTGCCTTTTACCACTCCCGAAGCCACCTCCACCTAAGGTGCTGCATAGTAATTTTATGCAAGGAAAATGAGCAGTGCATGCACGTGGGTGTGGGTGCAGGTGGGATGTGAGTTCACCTCCCATTCCCTCCGGCTAATCCCACCATTAGCCCACATGGAGGTTTCTTGTTCTTACCTATTAACCTCTCCCACCATTCTGATCTGCATGGAGCCATCCCGCCAACAATGACTAAGTGCCCACTGTGTGCTGGGTTTTATGCTGGTTCTGAGAACCCTGCAGAGAAAAGAATCTGATAACTCATTTATTCAGGGGGAGACAGACCCATGAAGCAATTGTCAAAGACACTGTGATATTTGAGCTGGCCCTTAAAAAGCAAGGAGGAGGGGTGCCTGGGTGGCTGGCTCAGTTGGTTAAGCGCCTGATGTCAGCTCAGGTCATGACCTTGAGGTTCGTGAGTTCGAGCCCCACATCAGGTTCTGCGCTGATGGTGTGGAGCCTGCTTGGGATTCTCTCTCTCTTCCTCTCCCCCACTTGTGTTTTCTCTCTCTATATCAAAAATAAATAAATAAATTTAAAGTAAAAAGGGAATGGAGGAGTTTGCCTTGCAGGGGAGGGGGAAGGAACAGCAGAGGCAAAGGCACAGAGGCATGAAACAGCTTGTGTTCAGCCAGCCACACAAGGAAGTGAGAGGTGCTGGGGGAGAGGTGGCTGATGATTTCACTGAGACCCCAGGGTGGGAGTTTGTGTTCATGCAGCCCAGCACCTGGCAGAGGGCCAGCACCCAGCCGGTGCTGAAGAGTGTGTGTCAGATCAGTGAGTAGAAAGAAGGAAAAGCGGAAGGGAACAGGAGAAGGGAAAAGTAAACTGTGCCTTAGTCATAGAAGTGAATCAATAGAACAGTCAAAAAAAAGAACAAATCAGAACCATAAACACAGGTGCCTCTCAAAATGCAATTACATGAGCAAACAACTTTTAGAAGAATGTCTACAGTCTCCTTACACACACATACATGCAGTAGGTTAGGCTACATGTAATTGACCATTTTGACTTAGAAACATAGCAGTTTCAGGGGCGCCTGGGTGGCTCAATCAGTTAAGCGTCAGACTTCAGCTTGGGTCATGATCTCGCAGTTTGTGGGTTTGAGCCCCCGCGTCGGGCTCTGTGCTGACAGCTCAGCCTGGAGCCTGCTTTGGATTCTGTGTCTCCCTCCCTCTCTGCCTCTCTCTCTCTCAAAACCAAATAAACATTGAAAAAATTAAAAAAAAAAAAAAAAAAGGGACAAGCTGTTGACACACACGATAACTTGCCTGGACCTCAAGGAGATTATACTGAGTGAAAAGAAGCCAGTCTTCAAAAGTTACACATACCGTATGGTTGCATTTACAGAACAGGCTTGAAATGACAAAATGATAAAGATAGGGAACAGACTAGTGGCTGCCTGGGCTGGGGGTGGGGGGGAAGGGAGGTGACTGCAGCTCTAAAAAGGGTGTCACAGGGATCAGATCCTTGTCATGAACTGTGTGTATTTTCATGTATCTTCCTGCTGGCGGTCGTGGGAATCCACACTCAATGCCGTTGCATAGAGCTAAACACACACACGTGAGTGCATGTAAAACCGGTGAAGTCTGAGTGAGGTGGGTCTGATTGTATCAGTGTCAGTGTCTTGCTGTGACATTGTACTGTAGTCATACACAGGTGAGCACTAGGGGAAACTGGAGGAAGAGTGTATTTCTTATTGCATGTGAATCTAGAACTATCTCAAAAAAAATTTTTAATAAATAAATAAAAATAAACATTTAAAACACACACAGGGTAATAATAATGCCACATTTGAGACAGAGGTTCTTTCTGGGAGGAGGGGAGGATTCTGCAGACTGGGAAGGATACACTGGGGGATTCACCTGTATCTGTCATGTTTTCCTTCTCAAAAAGGGAAAATCTGAAGCTAATATGGCCTATTACTCAGGTTCTACAAAGCTGAATGGTGGGTACACCAGTGTTTCTTTAATTATTCTCTATCCTGCTTTTATGTTTGAAATAGTTCGTGATTTATATATTTTTTAAGTTTATTCATTTATTACTTCTGAGAGAGAGAGCGAGCACACAAGCAGGGGAGGGGCAGAGAGAGAGAGAGACACAGAATCCATAGCAGGCTGCAGGCTCTGAGCCTTCAGCGCAGAGTCTGACTTGGGACTCGAACTCTCGAATGGTAAGATCATGACCTGAGCTGAAGCAGAACACTTACTCAACTGAACCACCCAGGTGCCCCAAAAGAGTTCGTGATTTTTTTTTATTTTTTTTAATGTTTATTCATTACTGAGAGACAGAGAGACACAGAGCGTGAGCAGAGGAGTGGTAGAGAGAGGAGACACAGAATCTGAAGCAGCTCCCAGCTCTGAGCTGTCAGCACAGAGCCCGATGCGGGGCTCGAAGTCACGGACCATGAGATCATGACCTGAGCCGAAGTCGGTCGCCTAACCAACTGAGCCACCCTGGTGCCCCTGAGTTCATGATTTTTAAAACACGGATCTTGCTTAACTCCTTTCATCCAGAGCCAGGATTGGGTCTTGGATGGAGAGGGCTGAGGGTGTGGGTGGTGGGAAGGGCTCTCTGAGAAGGGGAGGGGGTGGTTCGGCCCCAGGGCCTCAGCAGCAACCCCCTGTGAGCCACCTGGGCCTCTCTCTCTGCAGCCCCCGGAGAAGGAGGGTGCCCTGCCTCGGCAGGTGGGCAACAAGACAGAGTGCGGCCTGCTGGGCTTCGTGCTGGACCTGAAGCAGGATTATGAGCCCGTGCGCACCCAGATGCCAGAGGAGAAGCTGTACAAGGTGTACACCTTCAACTCTGTGCGCAAGTCCATGAGCACAGTCATCAAGCTGCCGGACGAGAGCTTCCGCATGTACAGCAAGGGTGCTTCTGAGATCGTGCTCAAGAAGTAAGCCGCGCGTGGTCGGGGAGGGGTGTGGGGAGCCGGGGACCACCAAGTCGTGCAGCACGGGCTGTCCTACAGGCTGGGCCGAAGGGCCATCTGGCACTCAGAGGTGTGGGGGGGGGGGGGGGGGGGGGGCCCTGCCCAACGTCCCACGGCAGGACCACCTCCAGGGTCCCTCGCCCACTGCTTTTCTCCCCATTTCCTCTTATAAATGTCTGCAGAGAGCCCTCCCCATCCTCCTCCCTACATCACTGGATCATCAGGAAGGGCTCCCCATCATCAGTGTTAAATCTCCCTCATTTTACTTCCTTTAGCATAGAGTGATTTTCATTGTGACCTAGTCTACTCTGACTCCACGCTGGAATCACCCCAGGGAGCTTTAAAAAAAAAAAAAGAAAAAATAGGGCACCTGGGTGGCTTAGTCGGTTGGGTGTCCGACTTTGGCTCAGGTCATGATCTCACGGGCCGTGGGTTCGAGCCCCCCGTCAGGCTCTGTGCTGACAGTTCCAGAGCCTGGAGCCTGCTTCAGATTCTGTGTCTCCCTCTATCTCTGCCCCTCCCCCGCTCAAGCTCTGTCTCTGTCTCTGTCTCTCTCAAAAATAAATAAACATTAAATAAATAAATAAAAAGAAAGAAAGAAAAAACATTGATTCCTGAACTCACCCCAGACAAACTGAGTTGGGGTGAACCTCTGGGGCAGCGCTCACACATGGGTATTTATTTATTCAGTGTTTCTCCAAACCATTGTAATGTGCAAGCAAGGTCCAGAACCACTAGCATAACTAAGTTTCCTCCCCTTTGAAAATCACTTTAGTTGTGGAACGATTTTTTCAGATGAAATCTTGTGAATATAAAACAGATCAAAGTAGATGTGCTCTTGCTGAATGGACTGGGGCAAATATTATAAGAAGACTGCCTGATTTCTTTTTGGCTGGTCTTGATTTCATCCCTGCCTGGGGCCCAGGGGCCTGGACCAGCCCTGAAGCATTATGGGAGTTGAACAGGATGGACACTGGATGACCAACCACGGCCAGCTGAGCATCACTGGGGAGGGGGAGGTGAGCTCAAGCTGGTCAGAGGGAGGATCCTTGGGCCCTCAGCTGGACCTTACCCATCTCCCTCCCATCTGCCCCCAGGTGCTGCAAAATCCTCAGTGGGGCAGGGGAGCCCCGGGTCTTCCGGCCCCGCGACCGGGATGAGATGGTGAAGAAGGTGATCGAGCCCATGGCCTGTGATGGGCTCCGCACCATCTGTGTGGCCTACCGCGACTTCCCCAGCAGCCCGGAACCTGACTGGGACAATGAGAATGACATCCTCAACGACCTAACCTGTATCTGTGTGGTGGGCATCGAGGACCCCGTGCGGCCCGAGGTAGGCACCCTACCAGCAGGCTTGGAGAGGCTGGGAATCCAGCCTGCTGCCAACCTGACATAAGTTGCCTCACCTTTCAGAGCCTCGGTTTCCCTATAGCATCCACAGGTTTTTTCTGCACATACTCCTAAACATTTGGACTCATGAGACCAGTGTAGTCCACGTTTGGCATTGGTCTGCTCAGGACCCGTGGCAGCACCCACAGCCGACTGCTGGGGATAGTCACGGAGCCATCCACCCAAGCACCCAGAAACCTTCCCTTGCCCCCAAAGGACAAGCATGGGGGCTGCCCTGCCTTAGAAGCCTCTTGCCCCACAGGAGCCAGGACCTCCTATAACACATCCATAGGCCTAGATTCCAGGCTCCCTGTAAAGAAGACCCCCAGAAACAACCGGTATCCAGGAAAACCCACGTGTGGTGTCACACCATCATTTAGAGTTCTGTCCATCCAGATCCTGCTTACTGATCAGCTTTCCCCGGTAGGCTCGCACAGTGACACAGCTGACAGTCTCCCTTTATCAGGTTTCCAGGGGAACAGAGCTACAAAGTTAACCAAAGGTCAGGTGCTCAGGCAGAAGAGAAGAGGGATGACAGCACCCCTCCCTATAAGGACGAAGGAAGGTGATGTGATAAGTGCACCTAATGGAGTGCTCAACTCACATAGGTCTTCAGCCTCCTTTAGCCGCCTCTGCATCTGGCAGGAAGACAGAACTCGGTGCTGGGGATTTGCAGGGTTGGGGGCGGATGGACACGTGTGGTCAGTCAGACTGCCCAGGCTAGAGAGGCCGTGGGAGGAAGCGTGGGCTGCCACAGATCTCCAGAACGTTCCTGTGGGCAAGCAGAGTGAATCTGCTCACCCTGCGGGGCCCCAGAGGGCAGAGCTCAGCACATGGGACAAGTCACAGGAGAAGCCGGCCTCCACATCCTCGAAAGACTAACACAGCCGCTGGGGCTCAGGTTGGTTCCCAGGCTGGCCCAATTAGGCCCACCCAGATTGGCCTTGGCTGCGGAATTTGGTGACAGTGCCTCTCAGGGCCACCTTCCTCCAGTAAAGGCAACTTCACTCTCCCCCACTTGCCCTCACACCATTCTGTGGGGGCCTCTCGCTGTTCTCTGCTCCTCTTGGAGCCTCCATTTCCCTTTCTTTCAAGTGAAAGGGGGTAGACAGGGTGTTTTCCAAAGTCCCAGCCCCAGTGTTCTAAGATTCCATGTTCCGAAAACCAAGTGAAACTAGGATGTCGCGGATGTGGACTTTCACGCTTAGGCAGCAGGGAGAGGCGTCGTCAAGAGTATGAGCTCAGGCATCGGACAGGCCTGGGATCCTGAGTCCCGGCCTTACTGGCTGTGTGACCTTGGGCCAGTTATGTAACCTCTCTGAGCCTCTGTTTCTTCATCCGTAGACTGGGGATAATAACAGTGTTCTCCACACATACACACCCCAGGGTACTATGAGGTATCATCATGCACATAGAAGCAACAGGCAGAGCCTGGCATGAGGTATGTGGCCCATCATTGTGGGTCTCCTTCTTTTATGCCCCTCCCCAGTAGATGCATAACTCTGGATCCAGTGACATGTAACAGCCCCTAACACAGAGCTCGGCCTATGGAAGGTACTTGAGAAGTGTGGAGTGAATGAATGAGAACAAATGGGACTCGAACACCAATCTTCCAATACTGTGCCTGGTACTCGTCTCTCTCTCTCTCTCTCTCTCTCTCTCTCTCTCTCACACACACACACACACACACACCACAGGCCTCCTCACTCCCACCCAGAGCCTAAAGCAGCAAAGGCGATTTGTGCCCCAGGTGCTTGGCACTGGAGCCCATGTGTGTTTTCCTGCAGACTGTGTCTGTCCCTGAACAGACAGGCCATTTATCAGCCTCCCCATGGGACGCCCGCTCATTACCAGCTGCTAATGGGTTCAGGCTTCCCATGACATGTTATCTCCTTACAGGCAACAGAGACTAGTCTCTGCATAGCAAGCAAGGCCAGCCTATGGTTCCCCTGTCCTTCCCATCCCCAGAGCTCCCCGTTCCTCACCCTGCAGCTGGGGTGGAAAGAAGTATCAGACACATAACTTTTTTGGTCATAACCCACAAAAAATAAGAAATGTATTTTATATCATGACTCAGTAAACACATACACCTGACCAAAATAAGAATCTCACAAAGTAACGCGATGCACTTATAAGTATTTTCTATTCTCTTCTATTTCTTTCTTTTTTTAACACTAGTCGTCACCCACAAAACTGATTTCACAATCCACTAAAACGGCATGAGTTTAGGTTTGAGCTGCTGCTGACCTAGTCCAAATGCCTCTGCACACCCCCACTGAGCAGGTGAAAACACTAAGGCCAAGCAGGGACACTGATGTTCCCAAAGACCTGCTGTAAAAGGCTGAGCAAATCCATATTAGAATGGGTTTTCTGCCTTCCTGCCTCAGGCCCTTCCCCAGGATGCCACGGAAATGAAAGGGCAAGTGGTTCTCAATCAGGAGGGTGGAGAGAGGTGGGACAGGGCCTAAGAGGGGCTAAGCTGGGTCCCTGGCATTTTCCATTGACAGCGTGATCATCCAGAGAAGCTGGCTTCAGTCACAGACTCTGGGAAGGGGCAGCTGTCCCACCCGGCAGCACTGTCATCCTGGAGGCCCCTACATTGGAGAAAAGGGACCTGGATCCGAGCCCCAAGTCTGTCAATAATAAGCCTTTCCCCCGCCCCTGTGCCTCAGTCTCCTCATCTGTAAAATGGGAGGTTGGCCCAGGGAGGTCCCTGCCAAGTTCCAACATTCTGAGCCAGCTGACTAGAAGCTTACCCTGACACCTTTGTCTGCTTCTGTCAAGTTGGTGCATCCTTGTTGGTGACCTCCTCTCTCCCCTGGACTCTCCCCCAGGATGTAGATTTAGATGTGGTAAGCTGTGTTGGAGAGCAGTGACTTACTAGGGTGACACAGCAGAATCAAGGGATACGGGTACTGATCCTGCTCCTGCCACTTCCTCACGGAAGACCCACAGGTGCATCGCTTCCCTGGGCCTCAGTTTCCCCATCTGAACAGTGAGAGAGTAGGACATTCCCAAGTGAGAGACACATAGCAGGGTTGCTGGTGGCACTGCTTAAAAGTATAAAAGCTCTGACCTGTTGACTCAGCATCTCCCAGTGGGGGTGGGGATGGCTTTTGATCTATTTGGTTTTTAGGCCGGGTGATTGATACACACAGAGCCAAATTCAAACGGTTCCATAGCACAGAAGGGGTGAAGCAGCCTCCCATGCCACCCCCCAGTCCCCTGGTCTCTGCCTCACAGTTTCTTGGGTGACCTTCGCAGAGTGTCTATGCCCACAGTTTTTGGCAAGCTCTCCCAGGCCACCGTGAGGCTGGCCGGAGCGGGAGCCTCAGGCTGGACCACCTCTAGGGTTGTACAAACATTTTCAGATTTGTTGGGCAGCTGCCCCTGGAGCACAAACCCTGCCTCCCTCAGTTTTCCCATCTGTCAAGGGGACAAATCACGTTGCCTTCCTCCCTCAAGAAGCGAGAACAGATCGAAACAGACTTGCCCGTCACCCCCCAGACAACACATAGGATGCTCCCTCGGGTACACTTTCCGAGGCTGATCGAAGCCGCTGCAGATAAAGCCATCAGAAGAGCAGCAGTCTGGGATTTGCCGGGTTATCCGGGGGTGTTTGGAGCCCTTGAAGTCACAGACAACGGGTGTCACCAGAAACAACAGATGTTTAAAAGCCTTTATTTAATGAAAACAGGAAGCGCCCATTTCCTGGCTGTTTTTCCTCAGTGAGAAAAATCTTGGATAATTTTAGCAAAGGAAGGGATTTTTTTTTTTTTTTGAAATTTTACAGCTACTTTATCTATGTGGAAAGTCTATTTCAACCAGATTGGTGCCCTTGTGGCTTGAGTCTTCATCATCTCTGGATCCTCAGTGGCCAGAACAGTTAGATGTTCAGTAGCTATTTGCCAAACAGATGAATGAATAAATACAAGGAAATGCTGGTGCAGTTTAAGGAAGCACCCCATTGGGTTGGAGGAACCCAGAGTGGCTTCATGAGGAGAGGCAACTCACCTGAAAAAGAAGAGACTTTTGACACACAGATTAAGGGAGAGAGGGTGTTCCAGGCAGAGGGAACAGCGTGGACAAACGCAGAGAGGTGTCCAGGAAGGGATGCTAAGTGTTTGGAGTCTAGTGAATACCCCGCTTTGGATTTATGAGAGAAGAGGCTAGGAAGGGAGCCTGGAGCGACATTGGAAGGGTCTCATGTCCCCATCCAAATCCGTTCACCAGGTCAGGCTTTGAGGGACTTAAGCAGAGAGACTGTTCTTGATGACCCACATTTACAAAGCACCTACCCTGTGCCATGTCCCTCTGTCAGCAATCCCTGCCCCCCCAGAGCCCACAGCCTAATGAAATGCCTGGTAAAAAGGCAAGAGTAGTAGACCCAAAGCACATGAGATCCTCAAGCCAGACCGAAGCACAACACAGACGTCCAGGTACACGGGCCGCCGCCCAGAAAGGAGGCAGAGTACCTCAAGGAGGTCGGGGATGCCCTGGGGTGTTTCTGGAATCCCCCCACGTTCTAGGCAGGTCACAGACCTCTAAGGCACCTGGCCCAGAAATCATGGTGAAGCGTCCACACTATCCCACTGCCCCAAACAAATGGCCGCCCCTCCAAGTCCCCGACACCAGCTGTGCCCCACCCCCACCGCATCTACATCCACACCCTCTGCACCCCTCCCCCTCTCCCAGAGCAGGAAGAACAAGCAAGGAAGACCATGGTCCGGCGTGTTGCCAGGCTCCCCACCGCCACCACCAGCATGGCTGGCTCCATGCTTGGTACTGTTTACCCCTGTCATGGCATCGTCCAGCCTCGCTGAGGGGTGTAGACTATCATCCCCATTTTACAGATGAGGATGCCAATGCTCAGGGGGAACCCCAGGGCAAAGCCCAGCCCAGCCTTTTGGTCCCTGAGCCCTCTCTCCAAGAGGGAGAGAAGCCTCCACCATACAGAGGAAAGCGCGGGGGCCATAAAAATTAGCTGCCTCCTTTTTCTCCCTGAGCCAGCTTGTTTTGGGGAGCCCCAGAGGGTGAGGATTCCAAGCAGGCAGATTGCAGCTCCCGAGACAGCCTAAAAAGTATTAGTCTTTCTAAAACACAGTGCCAGTCACCTCATCACTCGTTCAGAACTTACCACGGTTCCCAGGCCTGAAGGAGCAAGCCCCTGATTCCAGCACCTTCTGACCTCGAGCCTTTCTCCAGCTTCATGGCCACCAGCTCCTGCCCCTCCAGATCACCTGCCACACCTTCCTCCAGCACCCTTCCCACCTTCTGTGCTAGTGCCTCTCATGGGACAGAACCCTGTGGCCTGGGCCACAATGAAGTGGTCACCTGTGTAGCCCCAGCCAGGGCACAGTGCCAGGCACCAGAGCCTCAGTTAGTGTTAGCTGAACAGAAGCAACTCGAACGTCCCCTCCTCCGGGAAGCTTTCTCGGATTTCTCCTCTGCATCTACTTCCTTCTGAAGTACTGGCACCCTTCTCCTTTGCTCCCAGAGCCCATTGTACGGAGATCTTTACCAAAGACCCTGCCTCCTACAAGGGTACAGCTCTGACCCAGAGCACCTGCTTTCTCATCTGAAAAAAAGAACAATTCTGTGAAAGGATATGATAGACTTGTTCCACTGTGGAGCGGTCAGCCTGGGAGGGAGTGAGCACCCTGTCACCAGAGACCTACAAGCAGAAGCTGGCTGGCCATCTGTTGGGATGCCTAGCAGGAGAGCTAGGCAACGAGGAGAGAGTCAGAGTCATGACCTGAAGTCCCTTCCAACTCTAAGACTTCGAGCGTCTTTAAACCAAACAAAACCTAAACTATTCCTTTGAGGGCAGGAGCCAGATCAGGTGGATGTCCTCGAAAGAGCAGTGGCTCTTTCCGTGTTCAGTGTCTCCTGAACAGGAGACAGCAGGGGGCTGCAGCCCGGGTTACAGCCATTCTGAGGACATCGATCAATTATGTAAGCAGGATGTTGGACACTCCACGTCCCCATTCCCTCTGGCTCTGTAAAAAGAGGTCACAGTTGCCTATGTGAGCAGCAGCTATGGCACGAGGCAGAGGCCTTGCTCATGTGCCCCCCGCCCAGCCCCAAGTGGGCTCTTCCTCAGGCCCTGGAAGTGCAGCCAGAGGAGACCCGTGGTCAGCTTACCCTACTCCAGCCCTTGTGACAGGGAGATCACTACCTCTCACCACAGACCTGGTCTCTTATGCGATTCTGGTAGCTGGAGGGTGCATTCTCCTGACCTTGGCCAGGACCCTGCCTCTTCACGATGTTCGTTCCCTGCTCTACCACAAGATGGCCATGCTCAGGAGTCTTGATTTTCCCTATAAGCAGCTGGGAGGGAGTGACACCCCAGGCTGAACTCTAGGCAGGTCATTGGAGGTCAGGTAGGGGAGCGACGGAAGACGGGCGAGGCCAGAGGCAGGGAGACTGGGGAGGGGCTGGGCAGTGGCCCCCACTTGGAATGGTGGCACTCTGTGCTGAGGGAATAGCAGATGCTGTGGACGGGGGTGGACAGAGGCTAGATATTTTCAAGATCAATCCTTGTTTTTAAAGTTCCTGAGGGCAGGAAGGGGACCAGCAGTCAGGAGCTGTCCACAGTCAGGTTTTGAACCAATGTTCTGACTCTTTGTATTAGTTGCCATGATGCAATAGCACAGACTGGGTGGCTCAGACAACAGAACTGGATTCTCTCACGGTTCTGGAGGCTGGAAGTCCAAGATCAAGTGTTGGCAGGGTTGATCTCTTCTGAGAGCCATGAGGGAGAATCTGCTTCATGCCTCCCCCAGCCCCAGCTTGTGGGGGTTTGCTGGCAATCTTTACTGGTCCTTGGCAGCAACACCCCAATCTCTGCCTTTCTCTTTATATGACATTCTCTGCGTGTGTGTCTGGGTCCAAATTTCCCCTCTTCATAAAAACTCCAGTCACACTGACTGAGGGCCACCCTACCAGCCTCAACTTAATTACCTCTATAAACACCCTATCTCCAAGTAAGGTCATATTCACAGGCACTGGGGGTTAAGACTTTAACATATCTTTTTTTTCTTAATTTTTATTTATTTTTGAGAGGGAGAGAGAGAGAGAGAAGAGAGAGACAAGGGGGGAGGGGCAGAGAGAGAGAGGGAGACACAGAATCTGAAGCAGGCTCCAGGCTCTGAGCTGTTAGCACAGAGCCTGACACGGGGCTCAAACCCATGAGCTGTGAGATCATGACCTGAGCCGAAGTGGGACACTTAACTGACTGAGCCACCCAGGTGCCCCAAGACTTTAACATATCTTTTTGGAGCAGCCACAGTACAGCCCAAATAATCACCAGACCCTCTCAGCAGCGACTTTGCAGAGTGGGGATGGGAGTGACCTCCCAGACACTATGGGTACCAGATGAGGGGGAGACAGACTCCCTGAATCTAAGCCTGAGATTCTAAAGTGCTTTGGTCTTTTGATACAACCGGACTTTCTGCCCTTGACGTGTCCTCTTCCACTCAGAGACTTTGTGCAGCAAATAGCAAATATTACCTTATTATTTTATCATTTGTCACTGCCCATGGGTAAGAATCACTTGTTCAGTTGATCTGTGTTGTGTGTAAAGGGCTGTGGCAGCTCCAGGCTGGTTTCTGCATCCTAATTGCTGGGCAGATAAATCCACAGCTCTGTATAGGGGCAGGGACTGGGGGGATGGGGAGGGGGGAGGGGTGCTGCCACCTGCTGATTGGCTGGGTCTACTCTGGCCTGATTGGCCCAGACATCAGTCTATCATTGCAGTCAGGGCAGGAGGCAGTCCTTACTCTCTCTGGGGAATGTCCTGTTTTACATGAAGCATAATCATTTGTATGTATCCTAAGCCAGTGTCACATTCTGTAAATAAAATGCTCCCAAGTGCAGTATCCCCCCAACGCCCCCCCCCAAAAAAAAAATCTAAAAATACACAAACATACTTGTCACTGAATTTGCAGGAACTGTGCATGTGGATAAAGCTGTGCATGTGGATAAAGCACATTCTCATGCAATAGTAGAGTATTCTACTCCCACCTGGGGCCAGATCTGAGAGGGTGTTATTGGGGTCTTTCTCAAATTCCTTGCCCAAGTCAGGATAGCCAGTGGTTTCATCTCAGGACAGACTATCGTGGTGATAGGTGGTAGCTGCCTGAGGCTCTACTGAGAATTCTGAGACCACATCAGGGTTTAATCACAAGATTCTGTGATCGATTAGCAATGCCTGCCATGGGCACAGGAAAGGAGGAGATGGCCTATATTCCATGCATGCTATCGGTATCTCATGGTCATCCAGGCTCCTTATGATAGGGCTGCCTGTGAGCAGGGCTCACTCTGGAATCCACAGGGCAGTGAGGGCCTGCCCCAGGTGGTGCTCACTCCCATGGCTCCTGCCCTCCTGCCAGGTCCCAGAAGCCATCCGCAAGTGCCAGCGAGCGGGCATCACAGTCCGCATGGTCACCGGTGACAATATCAACACGGCCCGGGCCATCGCCATCAAGTGTGGCATCATCCATCCTGGGGAGGACTTTCTGTGCCTGGAGGGCAAGGAGTTTAACCGGAGGATCCGCAACGAGAAGGGGGAGGTACGTGCCCAGCACAAAGAGTCCGCAGAGGGATGAGCTAGGATGGGAGACTGGGAGGCATGGGGGCTGCGTGACTGTGCAGAAGCCAGCCAGTGTGCCACTAAGAGCCCAGTGACTTTGGGTGAGTCCCCTCCCTTGTCTAGGCCTCAGCTTCTCTCTCAGACCCCCCATCCCTCTCCAGATTGAACAAGAGCGAATTGATAAGATCTGGCCAAAGCTACGGGTGCTGGCTCGCTCCTCCCCCACGGACAAGCATACCCTCGTCAAAGGTAAGACTTGGGGGAGGCAGTTCTGAGGACAGAACCCCCTCTTCTCCTGGTGCCTGCAGCTTCTTTCCAGGACAGAGGGGCTTTTGCATGGGGCTCCCCACACCCGGCAAAACCCTTGTCTCTCCCCATTGCAGCCCTGGGAGGCCCTCTAAGGGCCACAGTGAGATGGGGAGGTTGTGAATCTTCTCTCTGGGTGCCACTCTTCTAGGAAACAATGAGATTGGGCATGTGTAGGTCCAAACCTCTTGGCCTGAGGGCCAAGGGGGGCCCAGAGATGTGTTGTATTTGGCTGGTACAGTGCCTTTGTTTATGTTGAATTTGGATGGCTTTATACAAACTCTCCTCTCACTTTTTTTTTAAAAGAGCCCTTTTTTTGAGGGGGGGGAGCACAAGTGAGCAAGGGACAGAGAGAGGGAGGGAGAGAGAGAAAGAGAGAGAGAGAAGCAGGGCTTACCCAAAGTGGGGCTTGTGGGTTTGTTTGGTTTTTTTTACCGTAAGTGGGGCTCATTCTCACCCAATGCAGGGCTCGAAATCACGAACCATGAGATCATGACCTGAACTGAAGTCAGATGTTTAACTGTCTGAGCTACCCAGGCACCCTCCCCTCACATTTGAAGCAGTCCTCACCACTCCTTGTCATGTGACGTTCAGCCCACTTCACTTATTTGTGTTCTCAGTCTGTCCCCAGAGTTGTGAGTTTGAGACCCTTGGTCTGCCTGCTCTCTGAGGACCCCAACCAACAACTGTAACCAGGACCCCAGGGTTGGTTTATCCCGGGAATAGCAACCTGATAAATGAGGCCAAAAGCTAACATCTTTCTCCTTCCTTGTCTCCTTCTGGATACAGGGCATACGATTTGCTGAGCTCATGCAGGTGGCCAGGTTCTGGGCACTTTTACAGTCATGCCTTCCTGGCTTCCCATGCCTGGCTGCCTGGCTGCCACTGACCTGTTCTATAGCCTTGGGCAAGTCCCTCCTCTTCTGGGACTCAATTTTCCCATCTTTAAAATGGCCATAGGAGGGCAGATTTCTGGCTGAGGTCATCCCTAGGGCATTTCAGATTCTCCTCCCAAAATACTACCCAAGGACATTAATGGAGGCAAATGTGGCCCAGGGACAGAAACATAGAACCTCAGAACCACAGATAACAGAGCAGGAGGCCCCCCACCCCATCCCCATTTATTTTTCAATCACTCCTTCATTTACTTATTCATTCTCTTGATAAATGTTTATTGAAGATCTACTAAGTACCAGGTCCTGCTCTTGGCAGACATGGTCCTTCCCTTTTGGAATTCACGGTCCAGATTCCATCCAGCAGACATTAAATAGCTTTCCTCCCACAGACCTGGAGGCTGCATTGGTGGAAGAGAAGGGTGGGACCGTCTGTTGGCCTCTCACTCAGGCTGGGGATGGGTGTCCCCTAACAGGCCGTCAAAGGTGGGTTGAGACTCCAGGAGAAAGGGCCTGTGTTTCAGGCAGGGAAGAGGACTGCACTGTGAAAGCCCAGAAGATTTCCAGACACTCTGAAGGAGTGGAAAGAAGCTGACCTGACCAGGCAGGGACCTCAAGAGAGAGAGAGGAGCCAGTGAAGGGGGTGCCAGTGTCAGATTGCATAGGGCCTTGAACGCCAGGCTGCTGACCTGAGCTGTTAGCCCAGGATTGGGAGCCTTTGGGAGGGCCTTGAGGGGAAAGCATTGTTTTAGAAAGTTCACTCCCCGCTTGTGGGGAGAATAGCCTGGAAGCAGAGGGACCACCGGAGCTGTCCATCTGCGAGAGGTGATGCCAGGACCAGGGTGGTGACAGCACAGGTGGAGCTGGAAGGCAACGGGTCAGAGACCTGCTTGGGTGGCAGAAGGATATGGGCCCAGCAGCTGTTCGGATGTAGTGGAGGTCTGACAGAGGGGAGGAGTCCCATATTCTCTCCATCTGTACCTGTCTGAGAGCCGGCAATGTGTCAGCATGGCCCCTGGGTTTTGGATGGGCAGCTGGATGTGAGGAGTCACAAGGGACACGTTTGAGAGCAGAGTGTCATGTGCAGTTTAGGGCTAGCTGAGCTGGAGGCTCTGTGACATCCAAGTGGGGCGTCCAGAAGACAGCTGGCCATCCATGCAGTCAGGACTCAGGAGAAAGATTAAGGCACAGGTGGAGCGTGCCAAGTGGGGAAAGCCAACTGAACCCAGGAATCTCCCATGTGAGCGATGGGCAGAGGCCGAGGGACCGAGAAGAGGCCGCCAGAGCTGTAGGAGGACAGCCAGGAGCGGTGGGGTCTAGGAAGACAAGGAAGGGAGCCTGCTGAGGAGGAAGGTGCAGTCCATGGCATGAATGGCACTGAGAGGTCCAGAGAGACAGAACAGGGGTGTGGCCACAGGAGATGGCCACAGGAAGGCCCTTTGTGACCACACACGGTGGGGACATGTTAGTGGGGTGGTGGGGCCATGCCAGCGCTAGAGGTGGAGGAATGGGGTGTGAGAGGAGGTGTCCTCCCAGCTCCCCCTCTATTGGGACCAGTGGGAGGGCTGGGGCAAAGCTGGTACCAGCCTGAGGGGCCACAGAGGAAAACTTGGCCCCCTTCCTGCTCTAGAGGAGCACGTAGGCAGGCTGAGGGAACCAACGGGAACAAAGTCCTCAAATACCCAGTAGACAGAGACTGGAGGCCGAGTCTTGGGGGGTGACTCAGGGACAGCCACCAGCTGGGGGGAGCAGCCCAGGATGACTCCCGGAGCACATGGCCTTGGAGCTGGGCCTTGAAGAGGGTGGAACTTGGATATTTGCAAAGAGCTGGGGGAGTGTTGGGAGGCTACGAAGTCTCCCAAGTCAAGAATCCATTCCCTCATTCCATAGGCTGCTGCTGTTTGCCAGGCACAGGACAGGGGAGACACGTATGGGAGCTACAGTGATCTGATTAGGGCAGGCGAGGGTCCTCAGGGAGTCACAAAGGTTTCCCAGGAGAAGTGGCATCTGAGCTGAGACCACAGGTGGGTGACAGCACAGCTGCCGAGGGAACAGCCCATGTAGACAGGGGCAAGGAAGCCAGCTTTGCAGACCGAGAGCCATTCCTATGGCTGGAGCACAGATTGGGGGCGGCCTGAGGCGAGAGAAGAGGAGATTGGAGAAGGGGGCGAGGCCTGACCACAGGGAACTTCAAATTTTCAGAGGGAGCTAAGAACATGGATGTCACCCTGAGGCCAGGGTGGGCAGTGAGAGAATGACTCTCAGTTGGAGGGAGGGGACAGGTCTGTCCCAGGGCTTAGAGAGAGCCCCTGGCACTGCTGTGCAGATTGGAGGGGCAGCCTGGGGTTAGGGAGAGGGCAGGGGGATGCTGGTGGCAGAGGGAACGGGACAGAGAGAAGTGGGATAGTTCACCTGGGATCTCGGAGCACAATCTGCAAGCCTTGGCCATGGATATGAGGTGCAGGATGAGAGAGAGACATGTCAAGAGTAACATTCAAATTTCTGTCCTGTCCGTGGACATGTCCTCTCAAACTCCACGTGGGCCCCATGATGACATCTTTCACCCACTCTTCTCCACTGGCCCCAGCTCAGTGACGGAGCCACATGTCACCTATTTATTCTCTTTCTGAATATTTTATATTTTACTGAGGGTGAATGTCTGGAGAGAGGTCAAGGCCAGAATGGTGGGTCAGGGGTCATCGGCAAATGGCCCAGCCCGGGCCTCCTCAGTAAGTGACTGGACGGCCCAGGGAGAAGGTGGTAGGACCCCAGCCTCTGGAGAACAGAGGAGCTCCTGGAACACAGGCAGACGAGGAGATGTTCTGGCTGGAGTGGCCACCAAGCCAAGGGCTACAGAGAGTGCAGAGTGTGCTGGAAAGGCAGTGAGGGCCCAGACCTCAGAGGGCCATAAGCCCGCAGGGGGCTAAGGTGCCCGACATGCCCTGCAGGTGCTGGCAGCTGTGGGCAAGCCTGGAGCTGGGAAAAGCCAGGATGGGGGGCGGGGAGGGGCATGGCTGGGGCCAAAGAGGAAGCTGTGCCCAGCCCAGGGTCCTCCCAACAATCAGACTGGTCCTGGCTGCCCTGGCCCCGTGGAGCGTCTATCCCAGGGCCCTAAGCACACTCCTGCCCCACCCCACAGGTATCATCGACAGCACACACACCGAGCAGCGGCAGGTGGTGGCCGTGACAGGGGATGGCACCAACGACGGGCCTGCACTCAAGAAGGCTGATGTGGGCTTCGCCATGGTAGGGGCAGCTCACAGCGGGCCCAGGGTGGTGCCTGGTAGGAGCTCATAGTCATGGGGTGTGGGCAGCATGGCCTCCAGCTGACTGTGCGGGACCCCCAGTTCACACTCAGCTCACTCACCATGCACCTCATGTGCCCAGTGCTCTCAAGGCTGTCTGGCCCCCCACCACGGTCTTCCTGGAAGGGTAGAGGGGGGCTCCCTGCAATGGGTGTTGGGGGGGGAGGCATTGGTGGGGGGGATGGGCCAGGGAGAGGCTTCCTGAAGGCAGAGAGCTGGCTTCAGGGGGCTGGGTCTGTGAGAAGTACGGGCACACACACCCCACGTGGTCCTGGCCATGCAGTTGGGAGTATGCATGTGAGGGATGTTGTAGGACTGAGGATGTGTAGGGGATGAGGACGGTGCTGCTTGAACTGCTCACCATCCCCCCAGCTGCCCCACCCAGGCTCCTGTCCCTGTCCCCACAGGGCATCGCAGGCACGGATGTGGCCAAGGAGGCCTCGGACATCATCCTGACGGATGACAACTTCAGCAGCATCGTCAAGGCAGTGATGTGGGGCCGCAACGTCTATGATAGCATCTCCAAATTCCTGCAGTTCCAACTAACAGTCAACGTAGTGGCTGTGATTGTGGCCTTCACAGGCGCCTGCATCACGCAGGTGGGTCCTCCAGGGGGGCGGGCAGGGCGGGGCATGCCAAAGCTTGGGGGAGCCCCTGCCAAGGGCCAGGAGCTGCATCGCAGACCTCAGGTGCAGGCACCAGCCCGAGGAAATGAGGCTCAGCAAGGTCGGGGGCTGGCCCAAGGTCATCTGGCAAATGAGAGATGTCAAGCCTCACCCCCATGATGGCCCAAGCCAGGCACAGGCCCAGTCCTTGCTCCAGGAGGCAGTAGAGGTCATCCTTGAAGGAAGGCAGAGCCCCCAAAGGGCCAGAGGGAGGCAGGGTGGGGCAGGACCCAAGGGGTATCCGACAACCAGCTGGGAACAAGGAACCGGCAGGGTCCTGGGGGCCTCAGTTCTGGCAGAAGTGTGACAGGAGAGGCCTGTTTGCCTGGGGCCCTGAGGACAGGTTGGGGATCTTGGTCATGGAGAGGCAGCTGTCCATCAGGATCACTATCTGGGTCAGGGGCAGCCCCATCCCCTGAGCTTTGGGGAAGCCAGCCAGCAGGCCTGCATGTCTACAGCCTCACTGTTTCCTCCCCCAGCCCCATGAGGTGGGAACTGTGATGATGCCCATTTTACAGAGGCAGAAACTGAGGCTCAGAGGATGGACCAGTCAGGAACCTTCCATTGTTCCCGCAGCCTCCTTCCTTCCCCTAGGGACTGACCAGCCTGGCCTGGGGGAGGAGAGGGCTGGTATTCGAAGGCCTTCTGGCAATCACATGGGCCGACAAGCTCCTGCCCACAGACAGGAGCCCCCAGAGGTCCGGAAGGTAGCACTGCCGTGAAGAGCTTGTGGCTTCAGGAATGCTGCTCCCCTCTGTTGCATTCTGAGCCCCTGGGGCTGCATGTGGCAGCACCCAGTACCCTATCCTGAGAATGTGAGCTGGGAGGTGGCTGGTGGGTCCCTTCTGCCCAAAGGGCCCTCTCCTGCTCTGTGGGCGAGAGACTCCCTCTAGGGGTGGCTTAGGGAACACTCCCGCAGCACAGCAGCTCCTGCAAGGCTTCTTGGAGACCCACTGACACCAGCTGGGGAAACAGGTTCAGGGAGGACTATCCGTTTGCCTGAGGTCTTAGACTAAGTTGGCAGCAGGGCCGTGTAGGCCTTGGTGGAGATGTGGGGGCCCTGACCCTGAAGCACTTGTAAACAGAGAAGGCTGGTGAGCAGGAAGAAGCCGCAGGGCCTGGGGAACTTGGCTGGGCCAGGGCAGAGGTGGGAGAGGTGGCCTGGAGGAAGGACTATGATGAGTATCTAGGAGAAGTGAGTGAGTGTATGGCGTGCAGGCAGAGTGGGCCTTGAGGGATGCACTGAGAAATGACAGGGGCATGACGAACAGTTCAGTTTAGGCTATTATGTGGGCTTCCTGAATGGAGGTGTTCCCCCAGTAGATGAGGCTCATACCAGAGAGGGAAGTCTGGGGTGGAGAGTGGGGAGAGGTGGGCAACAAAATGAAAGCCAGGGGGACAGGTGTGGAGAGGAGAGCAGGGCTGAAGAAGAGGCCATGGGGGACACGGATTTAAAAGGCAGGGAAAGGGGCACCTGGGTGGCTTGGTTGGTTAAGCATCCGACTTCAGCTCAGGTCGTGATCTCACAGCTCATGAGTTTGAGCCCCAAATTGGGGCTATCAGGGAGAACCCTGCTTCAGATCCTCTGTCTCCCTTGCTCTCTGCCCCTCCCCCACCTGTGTGTGTGCGCACGTGCGCGCTCTCTCTCTCTCTCTCTCTCTCTCTCAAAAATAAACAAATATTAAAAAAATAAGAAAATAAAAGGCAGGGGAAGAAGAGCCTGAAGGAGATGGAGAAGGAACATTGAGAGAGGAAGAGGAGGGCCAGACGAGTGGGGTCAGGCTCCAGGAGGAGGCAGTGGCCAAACCAGGAGATGAGGCTGGAAAATGTGTCTCTAGATTGGTGACAAGGAAGGTGCTGGTGACCTTGGAGAAGGGGATTTGGGGAGCACAGAGAGGCCAAAGTCTGGCTCCCAAAGACATGTTAGTCGGGCGTGCGAGGGAGGAGGGGACAGTCGATCGGCTCCTCCAGGCAGTGCACCCCATGCAATATGATTGTGCACAGAGCGGTACCACTATAGGACCCCAGTCTCAGCCAGAGAGAGGCGTGCAAGGATCCACACCAGAATGTGGATGGCGGCAGCCTGTAAGTGACAAGACCACTGATGAGTTTTAGCTTCTTCTGTTATTCCTTACTTGCCCAAATGTTCCACCACCAAATGTGTGATTTCTGGAATCACAGAGGCACACAATAATTGCTTAAAGTGGGATGATGAGGTAAAAAGGAACTGGGTGGTAGTGAAGAGAGGACAGGGGTCATGGGCACTGGTTGTGGGATAGCAGAGACCAGAGCCATTGACAGCTGAGCGGAAAGCAGCAATGGGGAGGGCAGAGGGAGGGTGAGGACACGGGATTTGTGCCGGAGACGGGATCTTGGCCTTAGCCAGGAGAGATGTGTCCACAGGGAGTGGAGGGGAGGAAGGCAGATGGTGGGGGTGTAGGTAAGTTTCCCAGAAGGCAGAGAGCTGCTCACCATTATGCCCCGAGGACTCTATTTTCTCTTTGGAGGAGAACACGGGTACACAGGTCTAGGCTGTTCTCCAGGGAAGGGAAAGCCTATCAAACCTGCTGGGTGCCTGCTTAGGAGCCCAGCGGGCAGGCCAGCCTAGGGCAGACCCACTGGGCAGAGCTGACTCAAGACGCCACCAAGATGCTGCTGAGACCCACACCCAGCACTTCGTAGCGGCAGGTGGGGCTGGCCTCCCCCATGACAGCCTTCCCCACCACTGCCATCTCCAGGACTCCCCTCTGAAGGCCGTGCAGATGCTCTGGGTAAACCTCATCATGGACACATTCGCCTCGCTGGCCCTGGCCACTGAGCCGCCCACCGAGACCCTGCTTCTGAGGAAGCCATACGGCCGTAACAAGCCCCTCATCTCTCGGACCATGATGAAGAACATCCTGGGCCATGCCGTCTACCAGCTCACCCTCATCTTCACCCTGCTTTTTGTTGGTGAGTCCCCCACCGGCCCACCTGGGACACTGTGGCCCAGACACAGCGTTCTGGATTCACATCTGCCTTCTCGTTTGCCAGGGAGGTAACAGAGGCCCAGGGAGGTGAAGTCAGTTGCTCAAGGTCACAGAGCAATTCCTGGGCAGAGCCAGGCCCCATCTCAGGTCTGGCCCACCCCAAAGCCAGGGCTTTGCCACTGATGACGGCTCCAGAAACTGAATACACACCGTGCAAGGCGGCACCCAAGTGCTGATTTATGCCCCTCTCACCTGCCCCATAGGAGCCCAGGGCTCTGGCCCCTCCTCTGACCCATCCCTGCACCTTATCCTCGCCCCTGAAGGCATCCTCACTGAGACTTCCCTGGGGAGGTGCTGCATGCCTGCCTAGCCACCAGCTATTTCCACAGCATTCTCATCTAGGCTGCTTCATTTAGGTTTTCCAGCCACTCAGCCACCACCATACATTACAGTGAGTGCCCTGAAGCACACAGAGGTGAGGTAACTTTGCCTGGGGGACGCAGCCCAACTCAGAAGCCTGGGTAAAGACCAGGCCTCATTTCCTTGGGTGCTTCAGAGATGATGCGGGCCAAGCCCACCCCTGGGTCACGGAAAGGCCCAGAGTGGGGAAGGGACTGGTCCACAGTCACACAGGGAGTGGGGGCCAGCTGGGAGTCCCCAGCCAGGGCAGGGCCCCTCCACGTGAGGAGGTGGGCTTTCCATGCCCATAATGAGCACTTACCCGCTAAGTCCAGGGCACAGGTGTGGGTAGTGCATGGACCCTACTCCTCAAGGGGAAGTCCTCTTGTGTAAATTTTGAAAGCAATGTGTTGGCAGGACTATCGTAAAGATTATGTGTAGAGTCTTTGAAGAAGCCACATGAATAAAAAACTAGGAGAGAAGGTTGCCAGGTGGGGGAGGGGAGAAGAGGGCAGGTTCCCGGTCTAATTGCTGGCTTCCCCCAGTGGAGCACCTACCCTCAGTGGTCTTGGATTCAGCTCAACACCTCACACTCTGAAAATTCCACAAGCTCTCCCGGCACCTGCTTATGCAGCTTTGCAAAGGGATATAGAATGACATCAGGCCTGACACCTGTGGCTGTCCACACAGCAGCCGGGGGGGGGGGGGGGGGGGGGGGGGGGGGGGGATCGACTCTCCCCCATCACGTGACAGCTCGGGTACAAGAGAATGAGGCCACATAGGCAGAGCCGGCCTGGCCTAGGAGTCCCAACCTCCAGGTAGCACTCGATGTTTCCTGTAAGAGCCCCAGGGGTCTCCAGAGGCCTCAGCAAGGGACACATTCAGTTACAAGAAGTAGCCCTTTCAGGGGAGCCCAAGGCCACAGGCTCCACCAGGGATTCCTGGTTCACGCCCAGTCCTCCCAGTCCCCGATGAGTTTGCCAGCTGGAGGTCACTTTCTTTTTTTTTTTTTTAAATTTTTTTTTTCAACATTTATTTATTTTTGGGACAGAGAGAGACAGAGCATGAACAGGCGAGGGGCAGAGAGAGAGGGAGACACAGAATCGGAAACAGGCTCCAGGCTCTGAGCCATCAGCCCAGAGCCCGACGCGGGGCTCGAACTCACGGACCGCGAGATCGTGACCTGGCTGAAGTCGGACGCTTAACCGACTGCGCCACCCAGGCGCCCCTGGAGGTCACTTTCTATAAGCAGTGTCAGCTCACAACACAGCTGGCATTCCACCTTTATCAGATCTCCACAGAAAAGCGAAGTAAAGTTCACCCAAGGTCTTTCCCCCTAGAAAAGAAAGGGTTCTGTTATCCCTCCACTCACACTCAGGACCACCCAACAGCGCAAGCCCACTCTGCCCCCTGATATCCAGAGCACCGCCTCTGACCTGCATGACCCACCTGGCTGTGTAGGAGAGGCCCCCACGCGGGGCCAGCGTCTTCCCCAGCCGTGGCCCTCAGCCCAGTTCCTGCCCTCTCGGCTTGGCAGGCGAGAAGATGTTCCAGATCGACAGTGGGAGGAACGCCCCCCTGCACTCGCCACCCTCGGAGCACTACACCATCATCTTCAACACCTTCGTCATGATGCAGCTCTTCAACGAGATCAACGCCCGCAAGATCCATGGCGAGCGCAATGTCTTTGATGGCATCTTCCGGAACCCGATTTTCTGCACCATCGTGCTGGGCACCTTTGCCATCCAGGTAGCCAGGCCCCACCCTCACCTGGGCTGGGGTGGGCAGTGGACAGCCGGGGCCCCTTGGCAGTGCCCTGAGAGCCCAGACCCCTGAGTTGGCCCCTGATGGCCTATCTCTCTCTCTCTCTCTCTCTCTCTCTCTCTCTCTTTTTCTCTCTCTGTCCCTGTGCTCCCCTTTGACCTCCAGATAGTGATCGTGCAGTTTGGGGGGAAGCCGTTCAGCTGCTCTCCGCTGCAGCTGGACCAGTGGATGTGGTGCATATTCATCGGGTTGGGAGAGCTCGTCTGGGGCCAGGTACGTTCTGGATGGGTTCTCAGCAGAGGGAGAGAAAGAGCACTGGACAGGGAATCCGGGAGCCCCAGGAATAAGTCCTGGCTCTGCCCTGGGCTCGCTGTCTGGCCCTAGGCAAGGTCTTCCCCATCTCTGGGCATGTGAGCGATGGGGTTTGGCCCCAGGTCCCAAATACTGGTCTTTGGGGTACCACCACTATAATTTTTGTTATAGATCTATATACCTCTGATGCTACTATTTGCTTGATGGTTTCCCTCAATCCAATCAGTTATTTTAATTGAAATTATTTCAAAAGGCAACTTTATCTTGCTAACATGATTAGAAAATCGGCATCATCTGTCATACACAGAAGCTAACCAAAAAAATAATAATGCAATGAGAACTATGTTATTAAACTCTAACTAGATCCTGAAGCCAGCTTGTTGTCTAAAGGGGTCCAAGCAGAGACTCCTTCAGAGGGCTCCAAGGAAACAGAAGAGGGGTGAACGCTGCCTTGTCTCAGAGCTATCCAGTGCTGTGTCTGAGATCCTCCCCAGCTTTAGGGAACCATGGGCTGACTGCTCTGTGGGGGCCCTTCCAGCCGTGACCCAGAACATTCTCCCTACTTTTGCCCAAGTCCTAAGCATGTGTGCGTGTGTGCATGTGTGCATGCATACACACACACGCTCACACACACGTGCACACACTCCTTCAGAGCACGTCTGCTTGCAGACAGACCAGGATGCAGTGCTTGGGAGAAGTACCTGGAGCTGGATCTGGGCCAAGGGGGCCTTATTCCCAAGGTGCTCCGTCATCCAGGTACTGGGAGCCCCAGGTTGCCTGAGACATTGTTCTTGATTTCAAGCTGTTCCAGGCTGGAGTGGGAAGTTGCAGTAGCAGAAATTAGATAGAAGATAAAGAAGAAAATTTAGTTTCATCCAAAAAGGTCCTTCTTGCAACTTTGGAGCTTCTTTGGGAAGTTGATAAACTAGATTTGACTTCGCAACCCCATTCCTTGGGCACCCTCACAGCCAGGCCATCTTTATCCTCCTAGAGCCCACACCCTCAGGGAGCTCTTGGCTTCTGGGAGAGCAGACTCCTGACGCCTGAGGATTATGCCGGTGGGCAATGCTGAAACCTCCAGAGAACCCGTGAGACTGAGTGTCCAGGCCAGCCTCTGTTTGTCCCTACAGGATAGGAAAGGGGCCTCTAATCTCTGTCACCTCAGCCTCCCCACAAGGTCTGTCTTTCAGGTCTCAGCCCCACGGACAAGCCCTTTGGAGGACGATTAAGGATAAAAGCATATCCCCTTCCCATATTGCCTTCCCTTTCTGGGAAGGCAACCATTCCAAGTCCTAGGACTGGCTGCCCCCAAGGTACCCGTGCCCTGGGCCCCTATTGCCCACACTCAGTTTCCACAGGACCAAATGATCAGGAGGAATGAGCCCAGGGACCTGAGGGCCAGCCATGAGCCAGGCTCATGCACAGCAACTTAGATACACCACCCTGCTTAATCCTCCAACTCTGAGAATTACCCCCAGCTTTACAGATGGGAAAGGCAGAGCTCAGAGACGTTAAGTGACTTACCCAAGGTCATGTGGCCTGTAAGGCCTGGGGCATATTCAAAGTCACATCTGTCCAACTCCTGAAGGCCAAGATTTTCCTCTGAATGAGTGACTTAAAAAGCAAATCAATAAGCAATTATACAAGATGGAATTGAGGAACAGGTAGGATGAGTTAAGGAGCGAGCTGAGCATGAGTAGGTAAGTGGGGAGGAGAGGGGGGTGGGGTGGCAGGGCGGAAGGAGGCCACCTGTGGGACGGCCCCCATCACCCTGCCGCTGGACCCCCTGCAGGTCATCGCCACCATCCCGACCAGCAGGCTCAAGTTCCTCAAGGAGGCAGGGAGGCTCACGCAGAAGGAGGAGATCCCGGAGGAGGAGCTGAATGAGGATGTGGAGGAGATAGACCACGCCGAGAGGGAGCTGCGGCGGGGCCAGATCCTGTGGTTCCGAGGCCTGAATCGGATCCAGACCCAGGTATGGGAGGCTCCCAGGGCGGGTGGGTGACGGAGACGGGCGTGCTCCATGCCACCCCACAGGCACTCAGAGACCGGACTCCGGCCCTGCTCTCCCATCTCACCAGCCGTGTTCCCCACACGCACGCTCCCGTGGCTGCTGAAGAAGCTGCGGCCTCCCCAGGAATGTTCCGCCTCGCCCCACAGACCAGCGAGGGGTCAGACTGGGGGTCACACCCACCATGGGTTTCGAGGGGGGATGCCCCAAAGCGGGGAGGGGGCCTGAGTGCTGAGGTGAGTGAGAGGCTCGGGTCAGGGTCGTGGGGCGGCCACCGGGAGGGGCAGTGCAAGGGTGGGCACCAGGCCATGTAAGGGCAGGGCCAACCCCACATTCTCCCGAGCCTGGGGGTCAGCCTGGGAGGTCCTGGCGTCTCTACACGTGCTTACATGTCCTCCACCTGGGCCTTCAGACACTGCCCTCCGCCAGGGTGTTGACACCACTCTGGGAAGCAAAGTTTGGTCTTCCCCACACATACACAGACACACACGTGCACACCAAGGACACACATGCCAAGCACACGTGTGGGATGGATTCCTTCCCCAGGACAGAGACACGTGCCACAAATGTGTAGGCCCCACACACTCTTGCACAGCCCTCTGCCTAGGCTGGAGCTGTAGTTCACACTGTTCGTTCACAGCCCCGCGGGATGAGGGACACGGGGGACTAGGAAACTGAGAGAGGGTGGGTCCCTTGCCCCCCCATCACTCTGGGAAGTACTGCCCAGCCCCTACCTCGATCCGCCAGGCCTAGGTAACAAACAGAAGATCACCTGGGCTGCTTCACACCCCACAGGGCACCCCCAAACATCCTCTCATTGGCCTCCACAGCCCTGAGAGGTAGGTATGCCCCCCTAGTTTTAGGGGTGACCAAGGTTCAGGAGACAGCACTCTCTGGGAGCCGGGGTCGGGGTGGGACAGGTTTCAGATCAAGAGCCTCCTGAGAAGCCTGGGTTCTCCCCCGTGACAAGGACCCCAGCACACGGCCCCCTTGGCCAGCCCTCCCCGGGACTCTGGGGCCTACAGATGGGCCTGGAGCTGAGCAGACATCTTGCAGAGGCTTTGAGTGTGTCTGGTAGTCTTTGTTTGACTTTAAGTGACGTTGTCGTTGTCACCGTGGCTGCGGCTGTTCTCGTGGCGTTGCGCCTGTCAGTCGTGTAGCTGTGTGTCCGTTCTTCTCGCAACTTGTCTCGTTCTCTCCTCCGTTGCAGATTGAAGTAGTCAATACTTTCAAGAGCGGGGCCTCCTTTCAGGGGGCCCTGCGGAGACAGTCCTCCGTCACCAGCCAGAGCCAGGACGTAGCCAATCTCTCTAGCCCTAGTCGCGTGTCGTTGTCCAATGCTCTTTCCTCTCCGACCAGCCTTCCTCCTGCTGCAGCTGGGCGTGAGTGTGAATCCTTACTGCCTCGGGCGCCACCGACGCCAGTGCTGGGCGGGCAGGGGCCGGGGCACCAAGGACACGGGGGGCAGCCAGTCATGGCGAGGCCCAGGGGGCTGAGGGACCAGAGCCATAGAGAAGGGTCCCAGTTGGTCAGGAGAGCATTGCCAGTCATGGGGTGGCAGTCGTTTGGTGGGCCAGGGTTGGCTGGGGTCAGGGTCAGGGATTTAACCACTCAGCTAAGGGGTCGTGAAGGTTGAAAGTGGCCAAAAAGGTCTGGGTCAGTCAAAGGATCAGCATCTGGAGGGGAGTTTCCCGTGATCAAATGTCCCAGCACCAAAGGGTCACAGCAGCCAAGGGACAGCAGTCAGCGGGGAGGGCAAAGCATCAGTCTAGGATCAGTCTAGGATCATACTCAGTCAGGAAAAGCCTAGCCCATGAGGGCAAAGTCAGAGTTGGCCAAGCAGTTAGAGTCTTATAGTCAGTTAGGTAGGGGGTTACCACAGGTCAAGGCCCTGAGGGGTCACAGTCAAGTCACAGTGGGGTGCAGCCAAGAGAGGGGTCACTATAGGTCAGAGATCCTAGTCGGTGAGGGCTCCCAGGCCATCAAGGAGATCACAGCCTGGTGGTTCAGAACCCTCTGCCTTCTCTCCTTGTACATCTGAGGACATCCACTGCCTTACACACACTTTTCCCTGCACACTGAGGGTCTGACCCCTTTCTAGAAAGGACAGAGCTCCTGACCCATTCAGCTTGACCTCAGGTACAAAACGGTGGGCCCAGGCTCACGTCTTGGCTGGGTGCCAGGACGCCCTGAAGGACCTGGTCTAACCCGTGGCTTCTGGCCCTTCCTCATCTCAGGGATAGCGGGGGACTCTGACCTCCTCCATCTTCTCCTTCCTGCCAAGCTCACCTCCTCCTCTCAAGTGGAGACTTCTGACCTGGGTCTCTCATTTCTGGCCTGTCGAGATCTTTCTGAACCACCCCTCCCCCATAGCTTCAGGCCCCAGGGAGAATAAGAAGTGTCTATTTGCCACCTGCCTCCTTTACCTTGTCTCCAGTCAGCCTCTCCCAAACCATAAGGGAACCCCTGGTTCTCGTCTTCTCAGATTGCCACAGTGTGTCTGTTCTAGCCCAGCTTTTGACGAGGAACAGACTCTAGGCTTCATCTCTCCATATTTTGTAAAGTGCCTGTTCCCCCATCCAAACACAGTACACCCACCACACACATCCCCTTCCACTGGGTGGGAAAGGACTTGCATGCAGGGTGGGACCTGGGCCATCTGAGCCCTCTGGTGGGAGACACAAGCCACAGAGAGACTGCTGATGGCATATGCTCATATCCCATGACTGTTCAATGGATGCAGCCCTGCCAGGTAGACAGGATGGGGGGGCGGGGTGCAGAAAGGGGAACAAAAGCCCTTCCATGTTCACTCATTAGCACAAAATCCCAGCAATGGGGAGGTGAAGCCAAAGTGAAATGGAGAGCTATTTGAGCAGATGGTGTCCAAGTCGCATGTCTGTGACTATCACTAGGAAGTCACTGCCAGGCTTTCTCAGGGCAGGAAACACTTTGGTCCCCTCCTCCTCCCCTTTACAGCAGAGAGCCTCACCCAGCTGACCTACTCCTGCATCCACATAGCTCTGGCCTTGCTCAGCACTCACTACCACCTTTCTTGAAGACCAATGACCAAGTGTTCTGGTCTAGGGGCACCTCGCTGGCTCAGTGGATAGAGCATATGACTCTTGATCTTGGTTCAAGTGTAGAGATCACTTAAAAAAAAAAAAAAAAAAAGAGTTCCGGTCTGGAGAGCCACTGGCTGAAAAATCCATTTCTTTTGGCTCCTGCCACCCCTCCTGGTGACTCCTACAGCCCCCTGGCTGGGTCTGGCTGCCAGCCAGTTTGGCTTCTGAGTGCTCACTCAGCTGTTTGTCCATCCCGGGTTAGCCTCTTTCTTGAGGCATGGTGCTTCACCCTGGCCACAGCCAGAGACAACCTGGCATTTCTGGGCACCCATGCAGCCTTTGGAAGTCTTCCTGTGGCATAGCCCCTCACCTTAGCTCTTATAGTCTAGGGAAAGAGCTTGGTCATCTCAAACCTGGGTAATATCATTCTCACCTTTTCCTGTGCCATTTATAAAACCATAAGGCCAGCCGAGGAACAATCAGCTCTCAACACTTCTTCAGAGAAACACCCATTTTTGCCCACCTCTCCAAGGACCCAACAGGAATGGTCAAGCGTGACTCCCTCATCCAATTGCCATCTTGTCTCCTTAAGCATTTTGTATTCCTACCCTCTATTGGAGACTCCAGACTGTAATTCAGCATGCTTTATGGGAGCCTGACCATCCCCCCTAGCCAAGGGTACTGGTTCCAAAAGAGATCACGACCTCTGTGGTTTCAACACACACATTTTGGTCAATACAGTCACAATGTGAACTCTAAATAAATAGTCCCAGTTCCTCCTTCTCCTGAATAGTCATTATAACAATGACATACCCTCTGGTCTCCAAGGACTCTGAGGGCCCTCTAGCTACCGGCCAAGGTCCCTTCAAAAGCCAAAGGCTGGGGCGCCTGGGTGGCGCAGTCGGTTGAGCCTCCGACTTCAGCCAGGTCACGATCTCGCGGTCCGTGAGTTCGAGCCCCGCGTCAGGCTCTGAGCTGATGGCTCAGAGCCTGGAGCCTGTTTCCGATTCTGTGTCTCCCTCTCTCTCTGCCCCTCCCCCGTTCATGCTCTGTCTCTCTCTGTCCCAAAAATAAATAAACGTTGAAAAAAAAATTTTTTTAATTAAAAAAATAAAAAAAGCCAAAGGCTTTCTTCCCACAGGGAGGTGTGAAGCCAGTAGCCACAGTTAAGAGAAGGGGTCCCAAATTGGGTGGGATGGAAAGGTAGGCTGCCTCCCACCTCCTCTGAGAAGGGTCTTCCTCCTGGGGATTCTCCAGCAGAGGAGGATAGCCATATGTATGCTGAATTCAAAATACCTGGAGTCTGTATATTCTAGAAGGAGTCAAACCACTGTTTCCTGGGTTATCAAGAGTTAAGCACCAAGGCCGGGGGCCCCTGTCCCTGGGATGGACTTCTGACTCATGACCTTGGGGTGAGGAGCCCCCCCACCACATCACACATCGCTCCCCAGGCACCACTGTGGGACAGAGGGTGCCAGGCAGACAGGTGCATGCAGACATGACAGGCAGGTCAGGCTGACATCCGGAATGTTTGTGCGGGAACTCTCGTCCACTCTCGTGCTTTCCTCTTCTGACTCACTCAAAAATGAGAGGTTTTTTTCCCCCAGAAACTTAAAGGCACATGCCTATAAGGCCTTATACTTGAGCCTCACTCAGCGTTTTCCAAAGCTGTTCCCATATTCTTCACTTCACATATGCCTCGCAAATGAATAGGAGGAAGGAGTTTCTTCAATATATCCATTTAACTGAGAAAGACACTGAGGCTCAGAGAAGTGGACTGACTTGACCAAGATCACCCAAGTGAGTGGCAAGAGGCCTGACTCCAAAGTCCCTCATTTTTCCCACCAGTGCACACCACTTTCCAGACAAGCGCATAGACCTGGAGCCTGCAGAGGCGGAATTTTCATTCCAGAACCAGTGCCCATGCCCATAGTCTCATACAGTGGAAAGGAGCCGATCCTCTGGGATTTAGAAGGCCAAGAAAGCTGTCTCTCTGCTTGAATTTCTACCAGCCTGGCAGGGACTGGGGAGAAGGGCACCTCCCCGCTGGTGATCCAGGACAAAATGAACATTCAGCTCTGACCCAGGGCCAAGCTACACTCATCTGCACCCATCTCAAACCACTTTTGTATTTAACGAGTGTGTGGCAGGCTCCGTGTTGGTCAGTGAAGGTCCTACTCCTTCAAACCAACCAAGCCAAGAACTGCAGGGTCCTAACCCAGAACCGGCCACTTTCTGGCCACTACCAGACCGGGCATCTCCTATTGCCACTTCCCCGTCACATTCCTGATTCTGAGGACTGCTAGGAGCAAGGAGTTTGCATCTCTTAAGGGGAGAAATGAAGAAGGAAAGAAAAGAAAACTGTATCTCTCATTAGCGTTTTGGTAACTGACTTAGTGCAATCTTGGGTTGGCGAGAAAATGGCTTGCTTCTGGGGTGGGGCCTAGACCTCTCCACTGTCTGAATATTCCATGTGTTTGTTTCCCTAGAGGGCTAGAGAACCCTGGATACAGAGTTCAGCAAGAGAGAGTGAAATTAAAAGAGGTTGTGAGTCTTTAACCTTGAGCCTGAAATGAATGTGAATCAATCCCAGACTCTTGGCTTCCCTGAAGCCGGGTAAACATTCGAGTATGTCGAACCCGTCCCAGCCCGGGGCCTACGCATTTCCTCAGAGCCCTCCAACACGGGCATGGGTGTCCTACTCCCTTTGTACTGATGAAACCAAAATGTCTAAAATCCCACAGGCCCGGTCCTCACCCCTCTCCCCTCCCCCCATGCCCAAATGCGGCTCACGCCCAAAAATCTCACTTTAGGGTAGGCAGGGAAGGGAGGCGGAAGAGCTTTTTTTCTTCCCGTATTTTTTTTTTTTTTTTTCCATTTCAGCCGCGGAGTGAACCGAAGTGGAGACTTGAGATGGCCGTGGTGGGGTGTCCCAAAAAGTCTTGTCCCCACAGTCTTGTCCAGAGCAGTTCATTCTCTCTGTTGTCTCCATGCCAGGGGGAGGGCAAGGGGCCTGCATCTCATTGTGTGTCGTCCCCTCTGCATTTTCAGTCACATGACAGGGTCCTGCCACCATCCCTCCTCCTCCACCAGGTGCCCCAGCCAGCATCTTATTGCAGTTCAGCCTCAGAACACACTGGGCACTAAGCTGGGCAGTTACAGTGATTATTATTCCCATTTTACAGATAAGAAAACTGAGGCCCACAACACCTTTTTCATTGTTTTCACTGAATCAAGGGTGCAGTGGCCTGCTCATCAGGAGATCAGAATATTTAATAATCTCTGCAGAGCCATGAATGGGGAATCCAGGGAGAAAGAATCCTCGGAGCAGTGAAATGCCTGTCAGAGGGCCAGCACTAATGCATGGCATCTGCAGGCACCTGCTGCCTCTTATTTAAAGCATGATTCCAACAAGGAGGGTCCCATGGAGTCCCCAGCCCCAGCACATAAGGAGGAAAAGGGACAGAGATGCTTTTGAGAAAACAAGGAAAAATCAGAACTACTAATGATGGCTGACAACAAAAGAAACTTAACAAACAAAATCAAAACTCTGGGGTCTTACACAAGACCGAAAAGGATTCCTGACCAACTTGAAGTTAAACCCTTCTCTGTACACACTAAATAGATACACATCTTATGTGCTTTAGAAACACTTCCCTCTGAAATAGTAAAATAGACCCTGAGCTATGACACTTAAAACCACCAGCCACAGTCACCCAGAAAACTCACCTCCATGGCCCACGCTTTCCCCACCTGTGTCCCACCAGCAAGATACCCCTGGGTTCAGCTGGGAGTTCCACAGATCCTGGGACCGCAAGGGCCTCCCCACAAGGACCCCAGCGGTCCTCTGCCTCCCGCGGGTCTGTGGTGTGGAGGCAGCCACTGCTCTCAGCTCCACGGCCACCTCGGCTGAGGCTCTGCTCCTTGGAGGCACTGAGGCTGCCTTGTATTCCCCTGCCACTGCCTCCACTCTGAGTTGGGGCTAAGAATAGAGGAGAAAGTACCTTTTTATCCCAAGTTCCATCTGCCCCTGGAGATGACAGGCATGGCTTCCCCCTCCCAAGAGTCTGGAGAAGGGACCCCTCTCTTCAACACAGGGATCCTGTTCCTCTGCACTCCGTGAGACAGGACAGGGGACGACCAGTGAGGCAATGTGGTCACTTGCCCGTGGTCAAGGCACCAAAAGTGCCAGAGCCAGGACTCAGGCTCAAGTCTTCCGGACTCTGAGTCCAGTGCTCTTTCCACCAACCTGGAAGACTCAAGATCCAACCCCCTTTCGTGGTTCAGAGAACCATGGCTTCCAACGAAGTCACAGAAGGTGAAAGAACATGCCGTTTTGTGGCTCAGGTCCACACCCCCTAGAATCCCACCCAGGGCTGGGTTTGGCCATCTGATTCTGGCTTCCTTTTTTGGGGTTTTTGTGTTTTCAAAGCACAAGTAAATCAAATACCCCAGGAAATGAGGGACCCCAAAGCCAACTCCAATGACTGGCCAGGGCTTTGAGTCTATACTCGAGTGTTTACCTCCCAAATGCATGAAGGAAAGAAACGTTGGGTACAAAGACCTCCGTTCACATTGTCCAGGCTTCCAAGTGTAGCCGTGTGTCTGTCTGTGTGTGCTGTGTGGTTCCTGATCCCTCACCGTGGCATGCTCCTGCCCATGAATGTCATCAGTCTGCCGGCTCCTTCGTGCTTTCTGGCTGCCTCTGCTCTGCACCCCAGAAAGCCCTGAGTTGGCTTTGGTTTGCTTTGCTGCCTTCGGTTTGATGTTCCTGTTCTGTGGCCCTCGTGTGTCTTCTCCCATCCCGGCTCATCCAACCGTCTCCCCCTTTCTGTTCCTTTTCCGTTTGTGACGTTATCTGTTCCATGTTGTATGGTTTCTTAACTGTGTGTGGTTTTTTTGGAGATTAATTTTCTAAAAATAGCCTCTCCTCCTTCCTCCTTTATTCCCACCTGGTCCCGCACCCCTTCTGCATGGTTGAACTTCTGCTCTAAAGTTAACAAGGCTCAGTCTCTCACTAGGTCTGGGTGGCCGCCGGAGTGGACTATGCTTCCTCTAACCACTGTTTCCCACCATCTCTGTGATGGGGCTTGATTCCTCCTGTCCTCATACTGTAGTTCTGACCAAAACCAAAGCAGTTTTTAAAACCTCTCGGATGCATATAACCTGAGCCCCTCTTCCATTCTTCCCCCTCCTCCCATGCTCATAACACCCAGCGACTGTGGATTCCAGCCGCCTGCTGTGCCCTGACCCCTCCCCCCAACCCCTCCTCCGAGCCCCTCCCCCAGCTTGGCTACTGGGCCCCCCACCCAGGGCAGTGCTTCTCACCCCTATGTTTCCCTTGCAGATTCGCGTCGTGAAGGCGTTCCGTAGCTCTCTCTATGAAGGTCTAGAAAAGCCTGAGTCTCGAACCTCCATCCATAATTTCATGGCTCACCCCGAATTCCGGATCGAAGATTCACAACCCCACATCCCCCTCATTGACGACACCGACCTGGAAGAAGATGCCGCACTCAAGCAGAACTCGAGCCCGCCGTCATCGCTCAACAAGAACAACAGCGCCATCGACAGCGGGATCAATCTGACGACTGACACAAGCAAATCAGCTACCTCTTCAAGTCCAGGGAGCCCCATCCACAGCCTGGAGACGTCGCTTTAGCTGAGGACCCCGCCGCCACCCACCCCCGGGCCCCACCCATCCAGGCACCCAGCTCACCCAAGCAGCAACGAGCAACAACAGGAAACCAAATACTGGCGAGAAAACCAACATTTCCACCCAAAAGACCCTTTTTCTGGCTGCGATGCTGTTTGAACTCTTTTTCACTTTGAGGCAAGGGGCGGGATCTCCTTGGGGAGGGGGGGCTTGCGGGAGTGAGCGATTTTCCCAGAACAAGCCCTTCCCGGCTCCCGCCCGAACATGGACCAGCCATGCACCCGCCAGGCCACCACGTCCCCTGCATGAATGTACTGTGCACTTCCAGTCCTCCCCTTGTTTGGTTTGGGGGGGGTCGGGGAGGGTCTTTTGTTTGTTTTCTTAGGCGGGAACTGACAACAGACTCTTTTCTGAGACTATTTATCCAATCGACTGGTCTGTGAGTTTTTGAAATGCTTGCGCAGCATGGTCTCAGTTGCATAGGTTAATTTAACAACTTTTTGAAACTGCAGAGCTTAACTCACCTAGTAAATTTGCACCAATGGAACCGAAGAACTTCATAGACACTCACAAGGTTATATCCATTTCTTTGTATCTATATCAACGTATACTTCTGCAAGACCGTATACGTCCATATAGATAGGTATACACACACACACACACACACACACACACACACGGATATATAAAGTTTTTTTGCCGGCATGTTGCCTTGTTTCCGCTTAAATGCTCTATTTTAACTTATTTATGTCCTAAAACAAGAATGTAATTTGTTTACAAACCTGTAGATAACGTCTTTGGCTATTTGTACGGTTTAAGAACACTGGTGGCTGAGATGCTATAAAGACAGCTCAGCCCAACAGACACTTCCCTGGATTGCATCCTTGATGTTTTACAATAGCCATGCTCTGATTTTTGCCTGCTGTTTCCGTTCAATTATGTCACTACCGCGGGAGGCTCAGGCAGACGCCAAATGCTACTGAGTGTCCATCCGGAGGGGGTTAACACCGTGCTCGTGCTCCGTAGACACAGGGAGAGGAGGAGAGAAGGCTTCCTAGGTTTGCAGCACTAACGGCCGGCCCGGCCCGAGGAGGATGACGGGGTCCGCCAAGCTCTGGTTGAAGACTTTTCTCTCGATGAAACTCGCTTGAGTTTACTAAGAGCATTTCAAAAAAAAGGTTCTCTTTGGCACTGTCTGTACAGAGGTTGAGGTAGTGTTGCAATATTATAAATGCTACTGTGTTGATTTTTTTTTTTTTAGTAATTTAGAGGTTTATTTACTTATAAATTGCAGCGTATGAGCTGTTGGCATACTGGATGAGGATCATTAAGGCCTGCTGCTTTTATTTTTATTTTTGAAGAAGAGTAGCCTTTTTCTCTGCACTATTTAGATCCGAACGAACCTTATGATGTGTATATTGAGATGTATTCAGTGTGATTTTTAAACCAAATTGTCTTCCTGTAGTCGCAATATATACTGTAGCCTTTTGACAGCAAGTCTCGCTTTCCCAGACAGAAAGCCATTCTGAAACCCTACAGTATCACAGGTGAGAAAAGGTGGTTATTTTCCCCCCAAGACAATAACAGCACTAGTAATCCCACTTAATGAGAGCTTATTTAATTGTACGTCAGCCTCTTAACTGCTAAGCACTTTGTGGGTATCAGCTTTTTTCATAAAAGAACTTTTGTATTTAATACAAAGTTTGCTTTGAGACTTTTCAGCATACAATCTTTTTCCATAAACTTGTACAGTGCAAAAGACATTTTGAATACCATGATCGATGACGTCCCATGCTTCGAGGAAAACCAAACACTTTTCCACCTCGCTTGCAAAATTCATTCCTCATACTGACCTTTCCCACAGTTGCTCTGTGTCAGCTCGGCCCTTCCCTTCTCCAGGCCCAGAGAATTCTTCCACAAACAAGATGAGAGCCACTCGGGAAAAGAGCCATAGTCAGCTGGGAGGGCCTACGTCTGGGTGGCTGTGAAGAAACCTGAGGGTTTGGGATCCCAAGTCAGCCCATCCCACCTGGCAAAACCTTCCTGGAAGGAGGACCTTCCGTGTGCGAGAGCATCACCTGATTGTCGTGAAGGAATATCTCTGAATGTACCCAGCAGAGGAAACTGCATCCCCAAAGGGGTGACCAGCCCTCAGATATGCTTACTGGATTCCAATACAAACACCACAAAAAGCCAGCCCACTGCTCGCCTGCCGAGAAAGTAGAGACCCGCACATGTAAAACATGGAGCAGCCTTGGAACACGGTGTTTTTTTGTAGCTTCCTTTCTCAAGGTTTTCCATCTCCCCACCTTCTTTGTTCCAATCTTGTGTCCATGACCTCATTCCACGACACCAGGAAAGCTGTGCTTGCACACCCATGCTCCCTGTTTATTTGGAGCCAGGACACAGGGAAAAACAGGAGGGGTTTCTCTGAGTAGAGCCTAGCTTGGAGAACAGGGAGCAGCGGAAGTAACGGAGGACACCCGACATTAGCGTTGGTCTTTTCTTGTCAGGAATGATGGATGCTCACACACACACACACACACACACACACACAGAGGAAATGATTGGTTTGTCCAAACTCACTGTAGTACATAAAGCTTGCACTCTGCGTCCTATATCTAGCAGCATGGGGTACGTTTGGCAGTCCACCCCATTAGGGGGTAAATAATTTATGACCATTCATCTGTTTTTATGAATTTTTTTATCTAGACAATAACTGTAAATAAAGAACTCACCGTCTCTGTTCATTTAATACTATGCAATGGTTATGCTTCGATCGCTGACTCTTCTTACTGCCGCAGTGTGATTCTGAAATGTCTGTGGTTTAAAAAAAAAAAAAAAAGGAAAAAAACAAAATCAAACAGAACACAGTAAATATATATTCTGTAATGTATATTTTTTTTCTAGTTTGGGACTGCACCATCCACGTAGCTTCTTTTCTGTCCTCTGGACAAGGGCTCCAGGAGAAGGTAGCAGATTCATTCTGAAGTCTAAGTTCAGCAACTTGTCTCTCCCAAACAGATGAGAGAAGAGCGAGGGGCCCACTGAGTGACCCCCGGTGCTGGAGAATCACCCACTTTTGAAGGTGGGCGGGGAGGAAATGTCTCCTCCCTGCAACTCAGGCAGCACTTTCCCTAACTCAGAAGCAGCCTCGATTGCTCCCACCGCCTCACCTCACCCTGGCCCCTTCCTCCTTTGTCCCAACTGGAGCACAGAGTTGACAAGAGGGAGGGTGCCCTGCTTTTGAGACCGGACCAGTGGCAATGATGGTACTGGGCCGAGGACTCTGGACCTGTCTCAGCCTGGGTGGCTTACCCCTGGAGTAGCCACTCTTCACAGCCATGTTGAAATGCCCCCCAACCCCCGCCCCGTACCACATACTGATGGTGTATATAGATGTGGGCCTATTTCTGGAATTTCTCTTCTGTTCCCTTATCTGGGTGTCTCATCTGGAACCAGCCATACAGTTTTGCTTACTGTCGCTTTATATGTTTTATCATGTGATAGGATAAACACCCTTCTCTCTCTCTTTTTTAAAACAAAACTTGCTGGTTACTGTCTCACAGCTGTTCTTTTAAGTAAACTTTAAAATGTTGCCAAGTCTTCTTCCAGCCCCAGCCCTTCCCCCACCCCATATACTAGGCCCTGTCATTCTACGTGCAAACATCTTCCTGCCATTGTAAGCACTGTTCACTCAGGGTCACTAAATAGAGTGTCTCAAAACGAGAAACAAAAGGAGTGTCCTAAATCTTGGGGGGAGGCCGGATGTTCCCCCCAACAACATCTCATCTATACCCTAAGCAAGGGTGTCAACAGGAGAGGCCACCAAGTCCCCTCCCAATCTCAGTTTGGGACCCAAAGTCACCCCCCCCTGGTTGTGCTGGGGTGGACCCTCCACCTGCCCCAGTCCAGAAGAGAAAGAAGGCTCTCTCCCAGACCTGGAGCTACCTGATGCATGGCCCAGTTGTTTGTATTTCTTATTCTCCTCCTGGAGAAACATTTATTCCCATCCCCCTTTCCTGAACTGCTTTTTTTTTGGGGGGGGGGGGGGGGGGGAGTTCACTTCCTGTTCTTTGTCCAAAGTTTTCTCAGTGGTTGTATGATAGGTCCTCTGGGATGCAGCCATTTCTTTCCTGGACCTTCACGCCACCCTTACCCTCTGCCCATTCTTGCTCTACTTACAGGAGGCTGTCAGCTAGGTGCACTGTGACGTGCCTCCTACCCAAAACTCTCTCCCTAGTGTCTGAGATCCCATCACAAGATGGGAGGGGTGCATTTCTTGAAGGCTTTGGGTCTTCTAGAGCCAAGGCCTAAATCAAACAACAGCAGAAAAATCCCCAGGTCTTGTCCAAGTTCTGAAGCAAGCTCTCCTGATTGTGATGTAGAGATCCTACTCACCCAAGTACAGGGAAAGGGATCCCAGGACCTGGGCATCAGCCATCACCCCCTCCACCAAACACAAGACCTTTGAGGCTGCTCTGGGACCTTCTCAGCCCCCGAAGTCTGTTTTGTAACGCCTGTGGTGCTCTCCCTCCGGACCTTTCCTCTCGGGGGTCGCCACACTTTGCTAACTCTTGTGTGCACATATTTTATAACAGAGTAGCGAGGAAATGGTGCCGTTCCAGCTTCCACGAGCTGCCCGGGCTCCGGGGGGCTCTGGGGCAATTGGGGCTGGGAAGTGACTGTGCTCTTATTGTACACTCTTTATTTCTCTGTATCTCTGGCTTGTGCTCTTTGTAATTAATGGGATTTGTCTGCCTTTTCAACACTATACTGAGCAATAACAATAAATGCACACGTGGAAACACAGACACGGTACACATCACAAGGCCTTTTTCCGCAGGACAGCTGGGTCCTCGTCCTCTGTGGATTTGAACTCGGGAAAACTGAGTCTCTGGGAGGGAAAGGCACTTTGCCCAAGGGTGCATAGCTCAGTGGGTGTCTCTCTCCTTCCATCAGGCCACACCTTTCAAACATCCACCATTTGAGGGAGATAAGTTTAA